AGCTCCAGACCCAAGTGTTCCCTGCCGGACCTCAACCACGACCATCCGCGCCCAGTGTTCCCTGCCGGACCTCAACCGCCCAGTGTTCCCTGCCGGACCTCAACCGCGAGCTCCAGGCCCAAGTGTTCCCTGCCGGACCTCAACCACAGCACACAACCACAACCACAACCACAAACACACAACCACAAACAGACAACCACAAACACACAACAAACAAACGCACAACCACAAACACACAACCACGGGCACAATCACAAACACGCAATGACAAGCACACAACCACAAACACAACCACAGCCACAACGACAAAGACGCAACAAACACAACCACAAGCAGACAACCACAACCACAACCACAACCACAACCACTACCACTACCACTACCACTACGACGACGACGACTACTACTATAACTACTATACTACTAGTACCACTACTACTCCTACTAGGGCCCGGGATGTTTCCAAGGTTTGGGCCGTGAAGGTCGGGCCCCGAACTGTGCGCTGCTATTGCTACTACTACCGCAGTAGCAGTAGCAGTAGGAGTAGTAGTCGTCGTCGTCGTCGTCCGGAAGTTTCCCAATTTTGGGCCGCCCAGTACGACTACTACTTACTGAAATGATCTGAGTTGTATTATTAGTTGGGCACAGGTCTCCTGATGAAAACATTCGCTTCGGACAAAGCAGTAAGACTTGGCGCTGAAGGACTTGTGCTGTGGGCTGAAATACACAACAAGGGTGATGCCAACGTGGCTGTTTTGAAATGTCATGGTGGGGATCACTTGAAGTAAAGTATATAATTGTTGTCTTTTGTGTCGGTTGCAGGTTTCAAATCTCCACACTCACCAGTATAAGAAGCCTGCGTCTTGGATGACCAGGCCTTGGCACGTGTTCGAGGAGTCTGGGACCAAGATTTTGGACAGGCATGAGAGAGAGAGAGAGATAGAGAAAGAAAGAGCCGTTTCCTGTGCAAAATCGCCTGCGTGGTTGATGGCTCCAGCAGTTAGTGACCACCCGTGAAACAGGCGGTGGATGCTAGTGGGAGTTGGTGTATGCCAGTATGCAAAAGAACCTCCAGGTAGAATTTTGTATGAATTTAGGAAGAACCGAGATGGACAACCATGCGCTTGGTGCATACATCAGCTTGTGTATGTGCCACCTGCCTTCAAGAATGCATGCATGCTCCAAGCATCATGGGGAGCCACACTTGTCAAGTGAAGGAATTTGTTTTCCTTTCATGTTGGTGTGGTTATGGTTGTCTGCCAGGTTGAGGACAACCAGAAGTGCTTCTCAACATAAACACTCCTCCTTTGACTCTTAGTAGCTTGCTGAAGTGTTGGAATTGGCGCCATGCGCAGCACAAAGTCTGGCTTGGACGGCGCTGTGAAGAAGGCCGAAGCTAAACTTATTGTGACTTCAAGGTAGTGGGTTCCAAACCCAGCAACCCACCAAAGTGTTCCTCGTCTCAGAACCCCACTGCCACTGCATCTGAAAGGTTGGGATTGCTTTGTCTGAACCCATCACGATCCATTAAAATGGTGTGGTTGAAAATGGCTCGAAACCAACAATGCCTTGTGAAAGCCATTGTGGAAGAGCCATTGAAACTTGTTTTTGAGGTGCCTTCGACCGGTGCAAGCACCAAGACTCAGGCATGCCCACCTGTACAATTTGCTAAAGAAGTCCTTTTTCTTAGAGCGAAGGCCAGTGCAGTTGTTGAAACCTGTTGAAACACTGGCTGAACGAATTGAACACAGGCACCCTCAGCCAAGACCCAGGCGTGGCGAGATGATTCAACTGTAAGATGAAACTGTTTTGTGACAAACTCTTCCGTTCATACGCTTCGTTTTGTGTTCATTCCTGTTGATGCCTTCAATCGCAGGTTTGGGAAACACAACCATGTCTACACACTGTCAGGCGGGCCGCCCGCGCAAACCCAGCGTGTCCAGTAGCCTGCTGGAGCGAACCTTGCCACTCGGCGAAGATCCGACCGAACTGCCAAACGACTGAAGAAACGATTGAAATTGATTGAACGATGTTTGCAAGTTGAGTGGAGAACAGAGAGAAGTTCCTCTATTGAACCGTATAGATATATGTGCCGCAATTTGTTTGCTTCACCTGGAGCTCCTGTGAGAAGCAACTAGCAGCTAGGAAGATTTGCCCAAAGGACCCCGGAGCTTCAATGCGCCAAGGTCCTTTGCCAATTGCAGCGTTCATCAAATCGCAGCTGCAGTCCTCGCTGAAGACCCATCTGCCAAGACGCTTGCATTGATCTTGTACTGTTTGGATGGAAAGCTTTTGTCCTCAGCGTTGCTTCCTTTCAATGAACTATGATGAACCTACAACTGTTGCCAAGGTTTGATTCTGCATTTTGGTGCACCCTATTGACTGGAAGCCCTGCTGATGAGTTCCGGTCTTTTCAGACTCTTGCGATGCATCAGCATCTTTCAGTTCGCTCCGAAACGGTCACAGCTTTTCGACGGTGCGGACCCGTTGGCTTCAGGAACCGGACTTTAGGGTTTTGGATACAGCTCTACAATCGCTGGCAGGCGGTTGGCTCAGTCGGTCGTGGTTGAGACTTTTCGTCGTTTGAGGCTCGAGGGGCTTTCAGCCAGTGGTGTTGTTTGATCGACCTGATTGATGGAAGGACATGGGCCAATGGATCGCCAGCAAAGTGCCGGAGTTTTTAGATGGAGAAGAGTTGCAGAAGTTGTTGAAATTGCCGTCGAACAAAGTAGTGGACATCATCAAACTGCCACTCAGAGAGAATGGATCATTCCTCACATCATTTGCTTTTCTTATCTTTCCTTCATGTTTGGCCATTGGCAACATTTGGCAACCCATTTGTTGTCCACTTTATTCGTCGCACGGTTTGACCCAGCTGGTCACAAACGCTTGTCCTTGGCTTCTGGAACGGAGGGCATGAGGAAATGCAAGATCAGGATGTGTGAGTTGATGACTGCTGGTGTCGTTCTGTCGCGGCTGATTGCTACAAAGCAAAAGCTCAAATTTGTGCTAGGCGGGAAGTTGGATGCTTTTTGTCACTTTTGTCGTCGCTTGGCCATGCCAAACACCGTTGCAGAACAGGCCTTTTCGATGTTGATGATAGCAGAACATTGGATGAGACAGAATTTGCTGGATTCGTCACTGCATTCATCTATGGCCTGGGAGCTGCATTTGGGCTACGGCACAAAGACGACATCTTGCCAACGACCAAAAGTATTCAGACTCCAGGATTTGCAGCAAGAAAACCTTTCTACCAGTAGGAGCAAAGACGCTAACAAAGGGCATCGCTACTAGGAGCAAGGACGCTATATTCAGACTCCAGGATTTCAGCAAAAAAGCCTTTGTGTGGCTTTTGTGCAAGCACTGGAAGTTGTCCACTGCAATGATCTATAGTACCCATAGCAAGCCTTGTGTCACTGAGGATCGTGGTGCAGCGGCTTTACAACCGCCTAGGGGAGATTGCAGCTAACCGATTGAAGGAGCTTTGTCGCGGAAGCACTTTCGACCGGAGTGCACTTGTGGAAGCAATCCGAGTCTAGGCTCAAAATAATTTGTAGCAGTGTAGCAACCATGCAAGGGATGGAGAGATGCAGCAAAATGGGAATAATGTATATCGTGGCTATGCCTCCAATACGGTACCATTCAAATCAGCGGGGAAAAAGGTCGTCTACAACCAGCAGGTTGCCGGGTCTTATTTTTGATCCATGGAATCCATAGCCACATGCATTGTGCCTCTTTGCATGTGCATTCGGAATTTTGAAGTGTTCCGTCTCAGCCCAGGATCGCGGACTGCAGGAGGATCCACAGCAAGCACGCGGGGTCCACGGCAGATAGTTCCTTTTGAAACTCTCATTGGTTGGTGCTTCAGATGCTTGGTGAAAGTTGGCACAGCTCATGAATTCCAAGGATGTCATTGCCAAGAATTGATGAGTGTGCTTGATGCTATTATTTCCGTTGCCCAGGAGAATACCAAGACCCCTTAGCACTTCCATATGCGCTCTCCATAGAACGTTTCTGCCCAAAGTTCCAGCCGCTGGATGAAGACCCTGAGGCGATTTGAAGTAGGACTTCGTGTGCTTTGCAAGGAAATGTGGTCGTGCTTTGCCTCACTATTCCAGATGAGAATGCATTGTTTCGCGGCAGTGACTTCTGCAGATGCCTCTTTCCTTCGTGCTGTAGGCTTTCATGGACGCAGATAAGAAGTTTTATCTCTCACACCGCTGGCCTGTCAATCCTCCGATTGAAAGTGCGGTCACCCACGATGCCAGTGCTTTGACTGCAGCAAAACGGTGGTGTGATGTTTCGCGTTTCGCTCGCGGAAACAGCTGATCTCAGGCATGCTGACACGAAAGGAGGTCGTCATTGCCCGTGCAATTTTTGAGTACTGCATGAATCAGGACTGCAATATGTGGGTCGATGTGTTCTTCCAACCTGAGTGCATCATTGATGAGTGTAGGGTAGGCAACCTTGAAGATGCTTGTCAAAGTCTTTCGTGCAACAGCAATATATAATATAGATGTTCCACGCGTGTACTGGCACGAAAGCAAACACAACCATCAGACATTGCCTGGACCTACTTTTTGGTGGATGTCAGATTTCAGTTTATGGGCATGAAAAAAGCATTCCGCGCCTCTACTTACAAAGCTGCAGGGCACTTTCCAAATGTCCCATGCGGAACTGCAAGCCGGACTTGGCAGAGATGATTTGACCGCAGATCTTTGGCAACTCGACATGTAAGTCTGGATTTGGGAGTTGGATGTGCTTGCTTCTACCTGCACTGCATTCTCTTTGCAGGTACAAGGTGCATCCAGCGCTGGAGCGTGTCCACGATGAACGATCGCGTAGCATCAAGGTTGACATCTTTACCTTCTTGCGGAAGTTGTGTCCAGGCGTGGTCGACTGCGCCTGCGCAGTAAAAACCGTGCGGTCGGAGTGGTGTGAAGACGGCCATTGAGTAGACATCGTTTTGCTGCTGGAGGGTCAGGCGGTTGACCAAGACCTTTGTTGCCTTTGTTCTATGTAATCCTTAATTATGGAGCAATGCACAGCAATGCCATCATGCCAGGAAGTCCACATGTGTAGTTTCAACGTGACGTGGACGTGTTCAGTGCAGTCCTTTACAATTTGACCTGTCTGGGCCGTTTGCAAAGGTGTGCAGCCAATGCACTTACGCATGTTTGATGGGTGGCTTCAGCAGTTCGACAAGATGCAGCATCGGCAGAAGTTCGTTGAGGTTGGACCAAGCAATTCAAGGGTCATTTGAGCAAGGAAATTAGCAAGGACGGTGAGACAGCAAGACGTAGGTAAGCTAGAAGAGGTGGCAAGTAATTAGATCTAAATCTAAATGCTTGTTGCCATTCAATCATACAGGACTTTGCTGACCAGAAGCGGAACACACTGAATGTCTTGTGCATAGCAGTGTTGTTTTGAGAAGTACGTCGCTGGGGGTGGAGGTTGACAAATGTGGATCTTGCCTTACACACACATAAGGCAAGTACACATGCTTGTTTGTTTTGCAAGATCTTTGCATTGACACACTGCACAAATCCTTAAAGCTTCTTCGTGTCTCGTTTCACATGTCTGGTGATAAGTGGCGTGCCATCAGTCCGATTCCAATATGGTTTGGGTGGTCAATTTTTGCAGACATGCTCGTACATTTGTGAGGCCTGCGAGCAGTCGGTGGCCATTTTGTCGCATACGAACACGAAGCCCGTCATTCCCGAAGTGGAGCTGGCCAAAGTGGAGACTTGGTTTGGTGATGTTTGCTCCTGGAGCGGTCTTTTGCAGCTCGCTCTATAGGGCTTTCAAGCTCCTCCCGCCTGAAGGCTTCCATGGACTTTCCTTGCCAACTTCTTTTCTCCCAGCTGGGCCAAACAGAGTACACGAGAGAATTGCCATTTACCACCCGAGGAGAGGCAATTTCGAGAAATCGATGTTGAAGGAAAAGGGCTAATCACCCTGAAGCAGATTGAGTTGGTCGCGGCCTTTGTGTGAGTGCAGGTTTGTTGAAATCACATCCAGGCAGCCAAGGAGGAGAGAGAAGCTCTCAGTGTACTGCTTAGGCAATGAACCTGGATAGTGGAATATTGAAGAAGTACGATGTTTCGGAGGATGGCTTCATTGACATTCACGAATATGTCGTGGCTCCACTGCACTGGAGTCGTAGCGCCCCACGGTTCCGCGAGGTCCTCCGCTCTCGTGTCCAGCTGAGGCGATGATGTGTCCGGATGAGTTCCGACCTCCTGAGATGAGTGGCTTCGACCAGGAGGCATTGGAGATCGGAATGATGAGGAACACTGAAATATGAAGACTGTCGACTATGTGACTCATAGATAGTCTTGACATATTGTGTTCTCCTTATGATGTGCCCCGACCTATTGCGCTAGCGCATCGCAGTTTACAGGTCTTAGGCACGTTGCTCTTGAGCTGGGCGACCCGTCATCGAGAAGAGTTGGATGAACAGAAGGCCTTGTATGCAGGAGGAGTGCCTTGGACGTGTGACAATTAGCGTCCCCCGCTGGTCTCATGTCTCATGTCCACCGGGGGTCTGTTTGGTCGTTCCAAGGTTGAGCGCAAGAACGAAATGCCTGCATCCATGCGGCCGGAGTGGGCCTTAGCCCGAGGCTTCGGAGAATCCTTTTCTAAGGCAGTATGAAGTGTGCGGGGTGGGTGTGGGCCATATGGCTAAGCGTGCAGATAGTATATACATAAGTGAACTGCAATTTCCATTCCAAGGAAGTCCCTGAAGAGACATGGACCGCTTGGAACTCTGTATTTGATCGATTGGATACAGACCACGATGGAGTTATGTCGGCAGCAGAGTTGAGGCTCCTCAGCTTGCAAGGGCCTGCCTTTTTTTCCCTTCTCCGGAGAGGTAGACATTAAATTCTTAAAGTTTGGGGCTGCTTCTTCTCTCGAGAATCGAACCGCTTTTGGTCAGGCGTCGCCGATTTTAGCGGGAGGTCCTGAGTCTCAGGTTCTTTGGTTCTCTTCAGTTCTGTCAGGTCGTCGATGCTTCTCTCCCAGCGAGTTTGTGATCAGCTCATCATCTCCGCGCAAGTCGATGGGCATGGTGGCATTCCTCGAAGAGCCTCGGTGAAAGCCCGGCTCGCCTGACTCGCGTTAGGTGCTCCTCCCAAACTCTTTATGCTTGTGCACTGCATGCTCAGACTCTGGAATGGACCTCGAAGTGTCCCATCTAGGATCCAACTATCCATGACGTGTTCGTTTTATGTTGCAGTGAAGTACTTTGTGCGATTGATTGTGGATACACTTGGCTGTCCTCTCTTGGCATGTTTAGTTTTTGTTTTGTTTCCCATCAAACCTTGCAGCCCATCTTGCGTGGAAAAGGAACCAATCTTTTGCCGTTTGGCCGAAGGAGTTGCAATCATCATACATGACGTAGCACAGCTATGCGTGTCCTGTCGCCTCAGGAGACTTCTTGCTCGCCCTTCTGGACTACAATGTGCCTTGTTCCAACCTTTTTGGAGCTTTGTTGTGTTGCAGACGGTTCCCGCAAGAATTGCATCCTTGTTGGCCGAAATTCAGGCAGCTTTAGACCACAGACTCCGGACCCCTCAACGTTTCGCTGTTGAGTAGAAAGCACATAGAAAGCACATATAGCGCGGACTGCAGTGGCTGGTTTCTCCTTGCTTTGGCTTCACAATGATGTCCTCAACAGCAAGGTAAGCTGTACAGGCATGTATTTCTTGAGCGCACTCGCGGAACTTGTGTCTCAACCGGCCTGCCCAAACTAAGAAGTTGCGCCGACCTGGTTTTGTGATGAGCGCAGCAGATAGTTAATCGACATACGCTCTTGTGACTCGCAGAAGTTCAACCCTGAACGAGCGGCTTGGCTTGACCAGCTTGTTAAATAGACCTGAAGCATTTAGCGCCAGAATCAGATTGATTTGTTGCGCCAGCAATTCTGCCACTTGCTTCCTCCACAGCTAAATGCGGCTGGATGTGTTTTATGGTATATAGTCGCACGGAACGTGTAAAAAGCACGTTTCAACCTTTGGAAGGTCATTTGCAAGAAGCAGACCTTCACACAACAGCTGAACAAGCTGCCATGGTACTGCCAAGCAGTATTAGCAGTTGGTTCTTGCTTCACGTCATTTTCTAACAGTGGAGGCCATAGACACAAAAGTCGCATTTTACCTTATATTGCCAACGAGTTTTGGTGCAAACACTACTTCGTAAAGCTCTGCACCAACCCTACCGGCTGACATGATTTTGGTCATAGCCACACTTTCGATCCTTAGTTGTGTTTCTCCAAGGTGAAACAAAACTTCCTGAGGCAGGCTTTGAGGGGGCCAACTTGTTTGACTTGACACCCCACTGCTGTTGCGCATGCTTTTAGTAATTTATGCGGACAGCCTTGGAGTGTGAACACCGATAGCTGACTTCATGAGGCGCTTGCACCCGGCTGCGGCAGCAGAACATGCTGCATTGTTGCTCGACTGCACGCTTTTTGGCCTTTTTTCCTTGTCTTGATCATGTGTCATCCATGTCTTTGTTTCCAGCCATTTGAGAGCCCGACTCTTCCCGCGGCGACGGGACGGGACTCGCGGGATGGAATGGTGGGCTGGTGGGTGAGTCTTGTGTCCGTAACAGCTGCGTGGCGTCTTCTGGAGAAGAACTGCTGGCCGGATTTTTCAGCTCACTATGCGTTGTGTTGCCAGGAGGCCTGGAGGGCCACCTGTAATCTCTGCGTTTACAAGAGCATTATTGTCGAAGCGGGCACGTCGGTGTCGGGGGGGCCGCCGAACGGACGGTGGTGAAGCCACGGGGCTCGAGCGGAGGGAAAACCGGTGCGTGGCCACTTTTTAGTGGCAGCGGAGCACCTGGCGACGATCCGGGGCACCGTGGAGGGCACGTGCGGGGGGCCTTGGCTACGTGCGGGACTTTTTGGTGGAGCTCGAGCCTCGTGGCTGAAGGGGCGCGATGACGTCGTACTACGCCGCCTTCGAGGTACATGTGCCGGGAGACGAGCCCGGGGGGTTTTCGGATTCGGACATGAATCCAGGGGATGCATCCTGGAGTGGCGCCTCCGGGATTGAGGGTAGCCGAGCTGGAGGGCAAGATCACGAGTGGGATTGGGAGTGGGCTCCATCCTCTCGTTCTTCGTGGGGCAGCAGCTGGCATAGCTATCGGTGGTACGGCGACAACCAGGCCGAGAACTGGTCATGGGATGGGAACTGGTCGGGTTCCGGGAGGTCGACACGTGGCCGCGAGAATTGGGAAGGGCACCGCTGTGGGGCGGCTCCGGGACATCTTGACGGACCCGAAGGTCATGCTCTTCGTAGCGATTCGGGACTTGGTGATGAAGGTGATTCGGGACTTTGGGAAGGGCATGCGGACTTGGACGAGCTCGCGGAGGTTCAGAACATGGACGACCTGTGCCTTCGAGGCCGGAGGGACGGCTGGAGTCGCCAGCCTCTCCCATGATGGCGGGGTTTGACCGTCATGGAAATCCTCCTTCCGGTGAGGTTTCATCAGTTGGGGACGCTCCGGAACCCCGCGGACCTGGAGAAGAGGCAAGGGCCACGTCGGCCGCGAAGGGGAAGGTGAGCAGTTCCTACCCCCCCATTTTCAGAGCGAAGGTGGGTGAGAGCTACCGGGACTGGCGTCGCTCGCTTGAGTTCTGGTTGGGAGGTGAGGGACACCAGATTCCTGAAGAGTTCATCGGGCCAAGAATTATGGTCCAGTTGAGGGACCGCGCCGCCCAGCTCGTGAAGCACCTCAACAACAGCGACGTGAATAGACCGGGCGGCATGCAGAAGATCTTTGAGGTCCTTGAGAGAAGCCCTCTGGTGCGGCAACTTGATAAACACCGAGTTGACCAACACCGAAAACGCTTGATGTCCTTGGCCCGCTACGCGGGAGAGTCGTTGGAAAGCTACATCACGCGGGGCAGCATATACCGCACCCAGCTGTTGGGCCTGGATGCGACTCTCGAGATGGGAGAGAGGTTCTATGTTGGTCACTTGCTGGACCACGCCCGCCTCAGCAGACGGGACAAGGTCTTGGTGAGGGCCCGAGCTGGAAATGAATCCGAGGAAGCAATTACCAACGCCCTGGTGGAACTTGCTGCAGAATTAGAAGGAGAACACGGATATCCAATCGGGGCCTCGGAGCCAAACACTGCTGGGGCTAATGGCGATGAGTGGCTGGTGCAACGTGGGGGACAAGGACAAGGTGGCCTCGCGCCGGGACGGAGAGGAGGAAGGGCCGCATTGGCCGCCGAAGTGCTGAGCGAGAAGCAGGATGAGGACGCGGAGACCGTCTTGCAGGAGGACGAATTGGGTGAGGACAGCCTCGAGGAGGACATGCCGCCGGAGCTGAAGGAAGTGGAGCGGGAAGCATACGCCATGCATTACAAAGCGAAACAACGCATGGCAGAAGTCAAGAAGCTCCGACAATACTATCGGAAGGGAGACCAGGTTGAGGAGCGCAAGAAGGCCTTAGCCGAAAAGATCAAGAATACGGCATGCCACAATTGCGGCGAGATAGGGCATTGGAGTCGGGAGTGCCCTAACCCGAAGGCTCAGCAGGTCTTGATGGCGGCGCCCGCTATGAGCAGGCGAAGGACTCGGCCCCGAACGGCGACATCTTCAATGGGGGCCATGACTACGGTGGAGGAGGAGCCGCAGGATCATGAGTGGGATTTGTTGGTTTCACTCTGCACTCATGGCGAAGCCCCATCGAAGATGAAGCGCGTGGAGCGTACATGGCGCTGCCGTGCGGGGTGGGAGCCACTGGAGGAGCGGCCAGCCATGAAGTTTTTTGGTGTGTACAAGAACTAGCCACCGCCGTGATACTCGACATAGGTTGCTTGAAGTCGGTGGCGGGAACTACATGGGTGAACCAGCTACTCAACCAATGGCAACGACACGATCGATGGTTCGTCGTTGAGAAAGAGAGAGAGGTGTTCAGGTTTGGGGATGGCAACACCTTGACCAGTGAGTACGGGGTCCAACTGGAGGCAACCTTTGCGGGACGGCCGGTGATTCTTGGGTTCTCGATCGTGAAGGGTGACTGCCCCCCCTTTGTTGTCCAGACATGCCCTGACACAATTGGGGGTGAGTTTTGACTGTGAACGACATGTTCTCTCCTCCAAGAAGCTGGAAGTGAAGTCATATGGACTACGGCAAACCACCAGCGGACATTACGTGATGGACATTGCCGAATTCGATCTCGACCAACAGCCTAACATTCCGGCCGACTTTCGATTGGAAGCGGGCCGGGAGGCCTGCCTTTGGAACAAAAAGAATGAGGTCCTGGTTGGGCAGGGTTTTGGCTCAGAAGCGAACGGTTGTGCGCCCGACCTTTGTGTAGCGCATGTCGACGCGGGCCAACTTCTGCCGGGTATGCGGCGATCCAGGTCACCGCACCAAGCAGTGCCCCAACATCCAGTCCGAGGAGGAGGACCTGGCACACCTGCAGAGCGTCCTGGCCATGGAGACGGCGAGTCATCGAAGTTGGGAAGAGCCGGCGGCCAGCAATGTCTCCATGAAGAGCTATCAGCCGGTGGAACGATCCTCTCCGAAGAAGCAACCGAAGGCCAAGGCTCAAGCATCAGGAGCAGGAGCCCGGCCCGAGCAGTACCGGTTGGACCAGGACGAGACGGAGATCACCGTGGCGGACCTCACCCCTCAGGAGATGGCTCGCATTGTGAAGTCGAGAGCCAAGGCGCAGAACGCGCGTGTGAAAAGGGAGGAGACCAAGGCGCTCACGGGCATCCGAGCCGATTACCCGACTCTCTCCAACAGCTACAGCGAGGAGATCGCCTTCAACATGCTCTGGTGTATCAGGAGCAAGATGATCAGCTTTCTGTGGAAGAAGTTGCTGTGGCAGTTGAGGGTGAAGGATGCCGTGGAAAGGACGATGCCCGGAGCTCGTTGGAAGCGCAATCACCGATGGCTCGCGATGCTCCTGGGCAAGGAAGTGGCATTTTGGTGGGGTCACTTCGGGAGTCTGCGTCAGCGGATGCACGCTCCCATTGCTCTTCCTCTGATGTGAAAGTGACCACGGAGCTCGACTCGGAGGAGAACGCCAGGAAGGGTCAAGGGGAAGGCGGTTTCCACTACATCGACCTCGAGGAGGATGTCTCGGAGGATGACCAGGGTGGCCACACCGCGAAGGAGACTACGGAGGACTATAACCTTGACGAGGGGGAGACGAACTATGAGGCGTACTTCATCGAGGAGCTCTTCGTGGATGAGGAGGAGATGATTGACATGTATGAGGAGCACCGGGCCGTGTTCTACCAGGAGCGACGGGCCCCAGGAACCTGGGTGGAGACAAGGCCGCCTCGAGGTTTGACTCAGCAATTCAAGAAGGGAGTTCAACAAGGACGACGGTTGATGGAGGCCGTGAAGCAGGGTGCCCGAGTCAACGACAAGTTCATGGTGCTGGAGATTTTCTCGGGAAGCTCTACGCTCACCCGGACGGCCATGGAGGCTCCGGGATGGGGAGCCTATCAACCGATAGACGTCTTGCTGGGGGAGGATGGGGACATGTCCAAGAAGCCAAATCGGGAGCGAGTGAAGAACACCGTCCGCACTCTGAAGCCCGACCTGGTGGTCATCACCCCGCCCTGTGGTCCGTGGTGCGCCTGGCAGCGACTATGTCATGATTTGGACAATTTGGATGAGATCCGGAAGCGCCATCTACCATTTTGGAAGTTGGCCAGAGAGGTGTGGGACATCCAGCAACAGGCAGGCCGGTTGTGCCTGACGGAACAGCCCCTGGGGTCAGAGGCATTGGAGACCAAATATATGGTGGAGCGTGAGCCGGTCGAGGTGGATCAATGCATGTTTGGGCTGAAGGACCCCGTGTCACAGTTGCTCTACCGCAAGTCCACCGCTTTGGATGTGACGGAGCAGGCCTTTGCGGTGGGATTGGCAGGTGTGAGGAGATGCAACCATCAACCCCGGGAGCATGAGCAGATTCGGGGCTCGGTGATAGTGGCCGGTCGCCGCCGTCAACGGTCAGAATTGGCGGCCTGTTGGACGAAGGACTTTGCCACATACATTCTCCAGGCCGCCCAGAAGAGTTTGGCAGGACGCCCCTCTACCCTGGAGCCACCACATGTTTTGGAAGTGTCCCCAGTGGATGAAGAAGGCTACGACATCCTGCCGGTGGAGATTGAGGAGGGCATCTTGACGGCCGAGGAGGTGTTGAAGAGACAACTTCGCCAGATGGGAGCAGAAGGCGAGCGCTATGACTACATCCAATTTGAAGGGGAGGCGAGAATGCTGCCGCGCCGCACTCGGGCGACGCTGGCCCACCTGCACGTGGCTTTGGGACATCTGTCCAATGATCGCCTACACCGCATGGTGAGCCTGGCCGGAGGGAGTGCTGATCTTCTAACCGGGATTAAAAGCTTGCACTGCCAGGTGTGTCAGATGGTGCGGCCTCCCGGGAGCAAGCCACAAGCATCCTACAC